AACGCTGCTTCAACCAAATATTTTCCCTCTTGTAGAATCTTTCTTTCTCACTTTTCTGTATCAAAAATTCGAAGTGTGCATCTTTGCGAATTTGCGTTTCGTACTGTGTGGATGCATAACGTGAGCCTGCCTAAGGCCTCGGGCAGTGTTCGCACAATTTCATCTGCTTCCAACAAGAAAAGCAGTTACGAGTACATTGCATGCCGATCATCCTGCATTTCGATTGTGGTGGTTAGTCACGATTGTTCGTGTTGGAGAACTGTCACAACCGAATTGCAAGATGGTTGCTATGCAGTGAACTCGTGACTGTTTGTCTTGTTGGAAGTGTTGCGGTGATGAAATCGCGTGAATTCTGCCCGACGCCTAAGTTGTCACCATCAGTAGGCAAGTATGTAGGCCACTGTAGCTTCCAACTTTTATCGCTTTTGGTAACTTGAAGTACTACATCCATGGTGAGCGCCGTGGATTGGAGCTGATGTGATGCATTATGATTCAGCTTCGCTAAACGTTCTTTTATCCGCTTCAGCGTATGTTCTGGTACGGTACGGTGTGGGATTCCTATGAGCCATGACCTCTATCACACACGAGACAGTTTTTTTAGGTTCTCGAAAAAAAAGTAGCTCTGTGCCTGCAATCAGTTTTTATCGCCGTTCGTCTGATCCACCTGTTTGCCATTACAGATTCGTTACTGTGCGAGTGCAAACCATCGTAAGATCCTAGACTTTTTATTTTTTCACTTCTTATTCAGGTTTTCACTCATCAACTCAATAACACTCCTTTGTCAAATGTTCTTTCATAGACATACATCTATGTAGCATCGCTATTCTAGGACGATTTGGAACTGAGCATTACAGAAAATCTTGTGGTGTTTTTTATCCCCTCCTCGTCACCAGCATTCTATGATCTGGTTATTGGCGATCAGGTATGCTACAAAAGGTAGCTTTGTAAGCAGTAAGCATTAAGTGGCTTTCAGATTGTTGAATGTGACGGGGTGGTCCCGAAAAGTCTAGAAGAGTTTAACAATCATGTAACTCTGGCTGATAAGGTAAAGATGGTAAACATGAAAGCACCTCAAATATATACTTTCCAGTCGAAATTCGCTTTTTGTCCTAGTTGACTATTTGGCGCGTTCGTTGAGCGCATCTCAACGCTCATGTCAAGTCACATAGGCTTTGAGTAATTTGCGTATCATAATGTCGTAAATCTTTGCTAGTATTAGGTCTGGCGCAGCTGAAACCGGGTCAAGCTGAGTACAGTTTCTGGGGGGAAAACAAAGGGGATGTTTTGCAAGGGGAGGGAGGGTCAGATAGGAGGAGCTCAAGCATATCGCCTGGCCTACCGCGGCCAAGCGGCATGCTTTGCTTTGAACAAACACGAGCGTTGACGAAAACGAAACGAATGATATGACAAGAAACTTGGCATGCGCGTGAGGGTACTCAAACTGTGACCCAAAATTTTACGGAAACTTATGTGAACAAAAGCCATGCTGAACTTTTTTCCAAATTAGGTGGAGCCATTCAGCTGGGCTGGGTTCCAGCAAAGCTGGAACCGATCCTTTGCTCGCATAATTTTTCGTACCTTCTTAGGCACGCGCCATACTTGATTTGCTTAATCCGCTTTATCATTGGTCAATTCAGTGCACTGACCAATTGTGAAGTGGATGAAGCGGATCAAGCGGACAACCGCTTCGC